CATGGCTGTGCAGGTGAGTGTGTTGTCGGCATTCCTCTGGCACACGTCGGCTTCAAAATTGACATTGACCAGAGAAGAGGCGATGGCGGTGGACTGAAAGAAGTACTGAAAATGGAGATTCGCGGTGCCGCCAACCATGGCCACGAAAGTACCGTCAGCAGTGGTGAGCGCGCAGTCGGGCTGGAGTCTAAACTGTTGCGCCAGTTGTCTGGTGGTATCAAAACGGAGCCTGTAGCCTGATCCAAAGGCCGGCGACAGCGCGGCCCACTTGCCGTCTACGTTGGCGTCTCCTGTACCTGAGGCTTGGAATACGAAAGCGGCGGTATTAATAGCACAAGGACCAGACGGGGACGAGATGTAAGAAGAGAGTGTCGAGGAGGAGGTAGACTGAAGACAACTCAGCATGGTGTATGTCGCATGAGGCTACATCGGGGGGGTGCTACTCACACTGGTGCTACTGGAGCTGCTAGAGCTGCTAGAACTGGTCGAAGTGATGGTTGTAGAGGTGCTCGAACTTGAAGAACTGCTGGAGGTGGAGGAGCTACTCGAGCTTGAGGAATCGCTGGACGTCGAGGAAGTCGAGGAAGTCGAGGAGGTCGAGGAAGTCGAGGAGGTCGAGGAAGTCGAGGAGGTCGAGGATGTGACCGATGAACTGCTGCTAGAAGTAGTGCTGGCGATGCTCGAGCTATCAGTACTGCTACTGCCGGTTGTAGTGCTTGTCGGAGCAGAGGTTGCGGTGCTGGTACTGCTCGAGCTAGGAGCACTGCTGCTACCACTGCTGCTGCTGCCGCCAACGCTGATGGTCGTGGTAGGTGTGCTCAAGACGCTGCTGGTCGAGGAGGGAGTCGTTCTAGCAGTGCTGCTGTTCCCAAAGTTGAAAGTGCTGCTGCTCGAAAGGATAGGGGAAGTGGTGGAACTACCCGGCGTGACGACAGTCGGAGCGGAGCTTGTGAGCGTGGAGCTCGGCTGCGGCGGGTTCAAATTGCTTGTACCGAAGGTCGTGAAAGACGAGGAAGCGCTGGGAGTGCTGCCTCCGCTGGGAGACCCAGACGAGAGCACCGACGAAGATCCGCTGCTCGGGATTGCAGTGGTCGGCTGCGAGAGGATGCTGCTGCTGCTGGAGCTGAGGGTGACGCTGAGAGACGCCGTCGGTGTGGACGAGATCCCGGTGATCGCGGAGGTCGGCAAGCTAGTGGTGTTCGACACGGCGGCAGGGGGTTGCACACTCAGAACGAATCCAACGTTCGCCGGGATAGGGGTATTGGTCGGAGCCTGAGCATTGGCACCGAGAGCCAAGGCCGCGAATACGGCCGCGTGTTTGGTCCAGGCCATTGTGTCGACGTTGCCCTTTCGGTAAGCTTAGAGACAGAGAGTGTGTGCAAGCGAGTGAAAAAAGCCTCCAGCAGAATGAAAGAGTGTATGCCCAACTTGACTGGTGAGGGTTGGTGACCAAGGGGGAAAGAGAGAGAGAGATGTGGGCCAAGAAATAGGATGAAGAGAGCTCAGCAAGATCTGCGAGGTTCCAGTTATTGGTCCATCCAGACATATGTGAACATTGCAGAGGGCCGAGATTGTGCTGGGAATTTCCAACGGGCCACAGAGCAAAGAGGCTGAATACTTCCATGGGCGCCATCATGCCGTTGAGCCATTACCCATCATTCCTCTCGTGAGGTGGGCTACTGGTGTTGAGCAGACGCGTGCCCGGCCCGAGACAGTTCTTTGAAGCCATGGATATCTCCCCTAAATGAACACTGCAATAATCCGAGAAGATCGGCCCCGGTTGCTTGCGGAGGCCATAGGTCAATTGGCGTGATCACGAATTCCAAAATTCCAAAGCTCGTCTTGGCACATGTGGGAAGGAAATGAGGTTGATGCTTGAAGGGAAGCGCTCACGGCACTTCGATACCGAGTTCCAGGGCGATGAGATATCTCGTTTCGCTCAGATATGCCGTACGACGTTGAGGTTGAGACAGTGGCCTCTATGATCATGAGGCTGAAGGGTAAGTAGAAGCTAAGCATTTTGTTGTCTCGGGCGTCTAGCTTAGGGGCCAAGGGGCTGTCGAGCTTCATGCCGTTACACACAATTCCAGTACGGGCCGAATGAGGAATTTAGGGTTGACGTTGCGTGGCAGTCGCGGGCCGAGGAATGTGTTGGTAGCCGATAGGTAGCGACATGGAAGATTATGCGGTTGCGTCCCAGACAAGGGAGGGATGCTCACGACATCTAGATGCGACTGTCTCCCTGTGCAGCCCCTGACGTTGACTAAGATACATAATCAGTCCTGATTCCAGACAACTTCACGTTACACCAGGTAAATGAATAGCACAGGGCTAAATTTTCAACCCAAAGCCACTATTTCGAACGGGAGCATTCACAGATAAACAGACCTGAACTAACTACCTACCACGCAGGAAAGTTGCCATTATACGCCACCATCTTGCCACCATACTTTTCCTTACTCGCCGCAGCAAGAACCCCCATCATGCCATCGCACGACTCATCGACACCAATGTGTGCCTTTTCCAGACCCAGACCCCGAGCACCAGCGTTGCCGAGGTCGGTCTGGACCCAGCCGGGGATCAGTACCCAGGCATTGAGCCAGTCTTCTTCTGCATTCATCCTGACCGTGAGCCAATTTACCGCGGCCTTGGAGGGGCCGTAGACGGCGTTCGGGATGGGAGGTTGGTTTCTTTTGGAACGATGTCAGCTGACCTTGTGCTAATGCCTTTATCTCAATTTACCTATGCGAGAGGCAATATGTAACTCACTCTATACATCCAGCAGTCGAACCCATCGGCACAAACATGGGTTCCTTGGACGACTTGCGCAGCAGCGGTCGCGTAGCCTGATATAGCGCGACGACACCATAGACGTTGGGCTCCATGTGCGTCTGGAGGTCGGAGATCTTGAGGTCAGCGACTGTCGGCAATGCGTACGAGATGCCGGCGTTGGCGATGACGATGTCGAGGTGGGTGATTCCGTGGGCTTCCTGTAGCTCCTTCACGGCGTCGTGGGCATCCTTCTCGACGGTGGCATCGATCTTGACGACGATGAGCTTGCTTCCGTCGGCTTTGGGTAGGTCATTGAGGGCTTGCGATGTTGCGTGGTTCGGGTCGCGGTTGCCTGCGATCACGGTGTGGTTTGGGAGGGCGAGATAGCGCTGGAGAAGGCCTTGGCCTAGGCCTCTGTTTGCACCGGTGATGAGGACTGTGGTTGGTGCCATGGCGTCTAGGGCGAGATCTCTCTCCGCAGACAACACTATGTACACTATCTTCCAATTATTGTAGAAGGATGAGCTGTATCGGTATCAAGTATCAAGATCTCATCAGGGCAAACCTTTGATATAGGCAGATCCCGGTCTTGATCAAAGCATGATGAATCGGAGGCGAGGCTGGGAGATTGGCGATAGAATGTCAACGTTATATAACGTTATGGCTATGTCCGCCACGTAACCCAGCCAGCAGCAACGGTAAGCACTAGTCAAGTGGCCGATCCTTTCATGTTGCTTTGTTCACGCCCAGTACGGTAGACGATACGAGAGCGTGCTCCCAGAACAAGCCATAGATCTTCACTACGTTCTCGACAATGAGTCCATGGCCTGTAAACACAAGGTCAACTCTGCGGAAGACATGCGGGAGACTTGCGGAAGACTTGCGGAGCGTCTGCGGGTCCCTTTCCGGCAAGTTGCCCCGGCCCCACTAGTCCCGCCACGGCGTCCGACCAGCGCGGAGACTGCAATTTCAAAATCCCCCTTAGCGCAGATCTCTGATTGGCGGTCATCAAAACCCTCACCTGCAACCAGCAGATTTTGCACTCCAAACCCTCGCTTCTCGCGCCCCGTTCACCGCAACGCAAGTCGATTCCATTTCCCGTTCGTTCATATTCATCCTGGTCCTCGTGGATCTTCAACAATAACTGGTCTGGTGGTGTAGTTGGTTATCACGTCAGTCTAACAGTTCGAGAGCCTCAATCTCTCTCGTCTGCCACACTGAAGGTCTCCGGTTCAAGTCCGGGCTAGATCATACCATGGGCGATTGGTTTAGTGGTATAATGACCGCTTAGCATGCGGTAGGTCCTGGGTTCGATTCCCAGATCGTCCATTCTTTTGCTTGTTGAGGCCTTTCATTGCTTTTTGTGTCTCCCCAGGGATGCTGGATAGCCACGTGTAGCTTATTGGGTTGGTTTTGGGCCCGGGAAGGGGCCGATAGTGTGAATAGTTGAAGGCTGATTGGCAATGAACGCACCCGTCAGATTGTTGTGGCTCGCTCTAAGCGGTTTTCAAACTCGGACGTGAGAAGGAAAGAGTAAGTGGTTTGAGGTCGATGTATTGGCCCATCGATCTTTCGATGGGCGGCTCACTCATGGTCGCAAAGTTGCGTTGGTGTATCGTGAGCCTAATCCCCCTCTCGCCCTGTCCCGGATGAATGGGATAGTAGGTGAGCCGCGGGCCTACTGCGCTACAGAACCATCGCCGGTAGTCGAACCAGTCTTCCCGGTCATCTTCAAGTAACAATATCCTTGGTTTGCCTCTAGTGGAAGTCTCCCAATCTAGGCTACATCTTGGGAGTATTGTTGCAGCAACGAAGTACCGTCCTAGCAGCGTGTCGATCAGCGAAAGAGTCGTGCTGGTGGAGCAGAGGCCTTTCGTTCCCATCTCCAGCCATACTTACTGCAGCCGTCGCTGAAATGCCTCGACTAAGCCTGCATATCCCTGCGGTATGGTGATCTCCAGGGCATTCAGGAATCAGCTACATCGACCTAGTGTCTCTGGGAGGATGAATACTTGTTGACAATCAACCGGACGATTGCTATTCAAGGATGACCCAACATCGACGGTGCCTATGCCTGTATCGAGCGCGTGGGGTACCGCCCCAATCGCGACGGTCGCCGCACGCCGTGCTCATTCTCTCTCCACAGCCTGACGGCCTCTTCTCATCGTCTGACCTGTCCTCTTTCTTCGGCAGAGAATCTTTTTCTCGAAGTGGTCTCATGCTGGCGACTATGAGCACTTCCAGACTCCCTTCTCCTCATCAAGCTCAAACATTGTAGACTTCATGCTGAACAGATACGTAAAGATCTTCTCCGTCTCGCCGCCGAGCACCGGCAAATCAACAACATCTTCCTCGTGTAGAGTCCACCCCTGGCTGTCAACCTGGTTCCAGAACTCATTCTCATCCGGATGCCGCTTCTTCCACGCAATGTACACCCACGTCTGCACACTCTCCTTCGCGCTCTTCGAGATGTTGTGCACGTGGACCGCCGTCCATGTATTTACCAGAGAAGGCAGCGAGTCCACGTTGTACGTGCAATCGCTCATGACAATGACGCCCCACGTCTTGGCCTTGACCAGCGGCCCAAACGCCCCCTTCCGACCGTCGTCCCAGTCGAGGTTCTCATACCGCGGATGAATACTCGCCGCCTCGTTCGCCACAAGCCTGTCGATATTCGCGGAGGCGCGGTGCTCGGCCTCAGGTAAATCCGTCATGAGGATGGCACCCTCGCCCTTGGGATCCGCATCCGACAAGAGCTGCGCCAGCCCGTTGCCCAGGATACCGACACCGCATCCGAGCTCGAGGATATTCACCGGCTCATCCCCGAAGAGAAGGCTGTGAAACTTCTTCATGCGCCACGGGTGCTTCTCCGCAGCGAAGCTCTCGCGCGTGCTGACCTGCCACAGCCCAGACACGGCCATCAACCCGGCATCCCAGATATGCCGCGCGATACTCTCCCCAATATCCTCCTCAATCTCAAGCACTGGCTCCGAAGGACGATCTCCGTGGTTGAGTCTCCGGACGCAGGTCGTCGGCCCTTCGGAGCCTGGTGTCTGCACGTCTGCCCAGAGGGGCAGGATCTTGCCGCACTCGCCCTCGAACCCCGCGATGCTCACGCTCATCGCCGTGTCGGCTGACTTATCACCCTCGGCGCGTATGCGTACCTTCAGCGGACCGAGACCGTTGGTGTTGGGGAGGGGTCCCCGCCCCGGGATATGTTGAGCTGGGATGTCGGCTTTGAGGACGCGCATGCCTGGTGTCCAGCGCAGGACCTTCTCAGCAGCTAGCGTCATGGGTTCACTGTTCTGCTTCCTTGATGATTCCTCATTCTGTTGTTGCTTCCGATCCTGATGCTCCCACCCGGCGGAGACTTTGATCTTGACGGGGTCATTGTCTTCTGGTGTGAGGAAAGAGTCGCCGAGGTCGGTTGTGATTGTGAAGACGACGTTGAGGGACCAGGGGTGTTTCCTGTTGTCTTCGCGTGTGAGCGTTGGTGCTCGTAGGAGCCGTATGTAATGCATTGAGTCGTGAGTGTGAAAACCGAGTCTGAGTTTCTAAAGACTCACACGGTTTTGAGGGCGTCGTTGAGTGTCGTCGATGAGACGGCGGCGTGAGTGAGCTCGCGGGTGAGGGACGAAAACTGAGAAACCGCTTAGTCATTCAGTTTTGACCAGTAGGAGCTCTTCTTTTATGAATAAAGCGGGTCACTAGCTCACGCACCTCCTTCCGCCCCCGAGTTTGATGGCATTGCTCGTCGATAACTCTACAGACTTCATTCAACTACTATGAAAAGAGTTAATAGATAGCTATGAGTGAGATGGTTTAATATGCTGGCTACTAAATGTGTATGACGCGTCGTAAGAGATCTGCTGGATCATCAACAACACTAGCTAAACCAATGTGCTACTTAGTACCCGCCTCTGGAGACATGGGTAATCCTTCTGAGATTCACTTCGCCGGCTACGAGAAAAGATACCAGAGTTGAGAGCCGTCAACTGAGTGGTCAGGTTTCAATATTAATCGAAGTTGATGGCTCCGGCGACTACGCGAGAGAGGTGCATGGATAAGGGATCGTGCGCCTGGCAAGAAATCAAAAAAGATTTGAGACAAGAATCGACGATGAAATACCACATATGAATTGATTCAGTACTACGATGAACTCATTCAACGTCTAACACCAAAAAAACTCACGAATTTGGCGCCTCGAGACAGAGACGGACTTGCCCAGCCGGAAGCGTCTGCCTTTCAAGCCACCGGGAGCTCAGTATAAGGTTCTATGCTCATCAGCCTGTTTCAGTGTCTAGTGCCAGCAGGAATGCTCCGGAAGATGCTCTGTCAGCTACAGCAAGTTGCTTATTGGGTCAGGATTGATATGCACGCAACAGTCTATCGTCACTACCCTGAAATGAAGATGTGACCCAAGGCAATACATCTTATCCAGTCATCTATCCCGCCCCCTACATTGAATATTCCGTGTGAAATACCTCGGATTGGAGAGCGAGCGGAAAGAGATAGGTTACTTAAAGCTTCGATGCTCGCTTTTCTGACACAACTATCGGGGATCGCGAGAAGCATACAGTCCGAATCGACTTTGAGGTGTTCATATCTACCCAGGCGCAAGTCAAACCTGGGTCTGGACCTAGATGATATCGTTGAGCTCGCAAGGCGATTAGTGTTAGCGCCGAAGTCAACACAGCAACCTAAACTCTCCTCTCTTATACAAGGTAGCTTAGCTCTGTTGCAAGCCTGATGAACAGATATTCCATCTTTCAATGCAGCGGACTCAGAGGTCATCACTTGGACCAGGATATTCTCCGTACGATAGGTCAGCACTTCTAAAGGGTCCTCCTTTAAAACTGCCGCGAGCTTCACAAACAATCATTCGCAACCACCTGTTCTCTTCATCTCGACGCAAGCGCAAACCCTATAGGCGGGTCGTTGCTTAAGTGGTTCCCATACTTGCTCCCGTTGATGTCACTGGATCGCCCGTCGAGATCGTCTCAAAGTTTCAGGGGAGTAAATTGTGTTACCAAGCCCCAAGACCCAAGATCTTCTCTGGAATATCCCATGCGGAATACGCCGAGTGAGATGGCGAGTGTAGGCAGGTGGGGTGCGGTTCCTAGTGCTCTTGATGCATCGTGACATTCGCGGAGATGCTGGTGTCTTTTTCTCAACTCGATCTGCAGAAGATCCAGGACGCAGTCGATTATGCGACTAAAGGATCAGCGTATAGTCACTGTCTTCGGTCGCGAACCCTATTCCCTGGGCCCAAGTTGTGGATTATATTGCTCTGCTCGAGGAAAATTAACGTATGGTAGATCTCTCCGCAACCTCCGATCGGAGACCGGCGATAAGTGGGCCCAGCTTCCGGGCTTGGCCACCCTCCAGGCCTGGTTCTCGACCGAAGTCCAACATTTCTTAGCAAAGTAGATGCGGATATTTCCACGTCATCCCCAATTCACGCCGCGTATTACTTACAGTTCCATTTTTACATTCAAAGCTGAAAGAAACGCATTAACAGCCTGGCGTTCTGCACATCTCCCACCTCCGACTCTAAAAACACCGCAGATATCGGAGGTCGCCGCCCCAACTCGCCGCGACCGGAAACAGTAGAACCCCCATCCCGCCATCCCGCGCTACGGACGCCTCCGATGGTAGGAGGTCGGCGTCCACTCATAAACGTTAATTGGGTAGGTCTTTACTCGAGGTACGTTCGACATGCGGTACGGATAGCATCTGGAGACTTACGATAAGCGTCGCGGGGTTGATAAAGTCGCGGGTCCATCCCAGTTCCACATCACCATATCAACACCAACAAAACTTCGACGACCGGCAATTGACATCACATCATACTTCACACACATCTCAAGATCACTCAATCCAACTCCACCACACAACATCAAAGGACTCAGACAAGACATCACCAACACAATGTCCACAGAACCCCCCCTCCCAACCCGCGACCCAAAAACCGTCCTCGCCTCCCTCCTCACCCTCACAGAAACCCGCATCGTGCCCCTAACAGCCCGCGGCGTCTCCTCCGGCTCAAAGCTCTTCGGCGCCGCCATCCTCTCCTCCGACGACGCCCTCACCCCCTACACAGTCTCCACAAACGACGAACGCACCTCCCCCCTCCTCCACGGCGAAATAAACTGCATCCAAACCTTCTTCACGCGCGACTTCCCCGACCCCTCCACCCGCCCCTCCCCGCGCACCGACTGCGTCTTCTTCGCAACCCACGAGCCCTGCTCCCTCTGTTTGTCGGGCATCGCCTGGTCCGGCTTCCGGGAGGTGTATTACCTCTTCACGTACGAGGACAGCCGCGACCTGTTTGCGATCCCGCACGATATCAATATCTTGCAGCAGGTCTTTCGCGTGCCGGCCGAGGGGGAGGACGAGAGTGCGCTGGGGAGACGGGAGCTGTACAACCGGACTAACCAGTTCTTCACGGCGCGGAGTTTGGGGGCGTTGGTGGAGGAGATCAAGGATGAGGGAGAGAGGGCTCATTGGCAGGAGGAGATGGAGCGCGTTAAAGGGTTGTACAACGCGTTGAGCGAGACGTATCAGGAGGGGAAGAAGGCTGGGGCCGAGAGTTCGAGCGTGTGGAAGTAGAGTAGAAAGCGGCGGGTTGAGTTGATTCGTCAATGGGGTGGTCGATTCACGGATACCTACTAGGGACTACTTACTGCTCGAAGTACTGAGTCCGCGTTGGGTGTTGCTGGCAGTGGCTGGGAGAAATCGATGGAGCCGGGGGATTTCCATAGTCGAGGACCGAGCGGGTGAAGACGGCGTCATACTCTAGCATCGATATGGAATGCCGCCGGTGACGACTGGTGTTCAGCTAGAGGATTAGAGATACCACTAACAAAGACTCGTTCCCATATCCAGCTCTAACCTCCCAGCCACGTCCATCATATCTACTATTTACGAAGCATCGAGTCATTGTGAGGTGTGTAGAGACAGGAGCCAACCCAGTGCGTGCCGTGGAAAACCTCATCTCGGCCGGCCGTGTCTCAGCCGTGGGTGAGACCTCCGCAACGGCAAGGGAAGGAATCGCTGCCGCATCGATCAACGTCGCATGGCATACGGCACTCGCCGCCGGGAAGAAGAGAGGGGGGCCAATTCCCAGGCCGGCCGGGCCACTCGTGGCCGTGGCCCGTACCAAGGCAGCAAGATCCTGCACCCTGAACGGCCGCAACACCTACGATCCCTCGGCCCCCGAAGCTGAACCTCACCCGCCGTTCTTCGCCGGGCAGAACATCGTCCACGACGCAACGCACTGTGCTGGCCAGAGTATGCCGATGATCCCACGGCGGTTATGGACCAAGCAGACGAAGGCGGAAATGCAGGCGCGGGGTAAAGCGGACCAGGGCGTGTAGGCTACGGCACGGCGGTACGGAATAGTGTACAGCCATCCCCCTGTCGATGAGGTACATTTGGATTTCTTCACGCCCCCCTCTTCAACGGGTCCCCCTTTCATGGGGTTTGAAGCATCATCATTGGCCGGGTTCGTCTGGCCTTCCCATGTGGCCCGCTGTCGTTTTAGGCACATGCAGTGCAGAGGCGGTTTTCGGCGTGGGGAGCACGTTGCGGAATGGAGTCGCCCGGGTTTAACGGGTCATGGACATGGGGGTGAAGGATGAGGGGAAAGCAGAAGAAGAACATGGCCTTTGCCGGATCGGCCGGACATGGCGCGCATTTTCTCAGCGTGGATGACCAGTGAAGATATCTGCGAGCATGGCATAGTTGATGCTATAGGAAGTGGTCTTTTCGAGACGAACTGCTGGTGATACTGCCGTGCGCGGGCGAGAAACAGGGTTGAGGGGCCTTCATTACGTTGTGCAGCGCATGGCACGGCAGCGCGAGGCATCATCGCAGACTGCGGCTAGAATGGATGGAGTCAAACTCCAAGGGGGATCCATAACTGTGCAGCAACAGGAGACAGACGCGGCCGCTGCTGCACCACATCACAGCTGTTGCTGAAGACCGAGAGACGCAGGCGAGAGAGCGCAACCGTGTTGCGTATTCGCAGGAATGATGATGATGGGACAAAGTCTCCGCAACGGCCGCCCCTCCCGCGCATACTAGCAGCCTAGGGTGAGGGTCTTTGGGTCTCTCAGCCCTTTCCCCTCCCGGTTATCGTTTGTTCGTCGTCTCAAAACCCCTCCTCCTTGTTGGTTGCGTGCAGACGCCATCCGTGGTATCCCGGCGGGTAGGGAAAAGAAAAAAAGACGCAGTGAGCAGCCATGTGTCAGCACACCCGTCCGCTATGATAGCGTGAGATTAGGTACAGCCGGCGACGCGACAGCCGCGGGGACAGGAGTCGTGATTGAGATACCTAGACACATTGTCACGCGCATCGTCAGTTCATCCCAGACATCGGCCAATGTGCTCAAGGGAAGTAGACGGTCCGCTATACAGGCGGAGGTTCGTACGACAAACAGGCAAGCAACGCCCAGAACTGTTTGATTCAACTTTTGACCGGAGCACGCCCTCTAGCTCTCTCATCAGAATCTCAAAAGGGCAACGGGAGAGCAAGGGAAACGTGGGCAGAGGGAGGGGGAGTGTGCAGCTGGTTGACGGAGGATGATGGTCGATGATGGAGGATGACTGGCCGGGCAAAGGCGACTATTCCCACTCGTGGTGATTAATGACCAGTGACAGGTCGCTAAAACAAGGTAAAAAGAGGAAGACGGGAGTCGCGACGAACGGTCCCAGGTTGGAACGGGCCGACACAGCACTACTTCGTACCGACACTGGCTCTCTCTTCCTCCCATGGGCTACCCTTGCCTGGGCTCCCGGGGGTGTGGTGGGTTGCATTCTCTAGTTTGCAGACGCGCAGGTTGGAAGTTGGAGGGTTCGCTGTGAGAAATGACGCAGGCTTTCCAATTTGGATGGGTTACTGAGGGCTGAAGGAGGTGTCTCTCGAATTCCCAAAAATAACGAGGTGCCGATGCGTCGTTGGCTGTGCCGCGCTGTGCATACTGGTGCGTTTACACCACCACATACATACATTCGCGGTTGGTGCTTTGTGAATTGTTGGATGCTGGTGAGAGCCAGTCGGGAGGCTTGTCGATGGCACCAACTGTGTGATTTTCTGCTAATCTCGCTGTCTATTGGGTAGTACCAGTGAGACTGTCCGTTCACCACTGGGCTGAAATCAATGGCTTCCTGTGGTGCAAGGTAAAGCAGTCGTCAGCTTATTCAGGCCAATCTCGGAGGTTGATGTATAACAGAGGCTGAGCAAGACGCGATGTCTCTCACTGCTTCCTTTGGATGACAGACTTCCGGCAATTGTTAGACTCTCATGACAGAGGCGTGTATGAAGGAAGCAATTCGAGATTGACAGAAACGGACGATCTGGCCAGAAAAGGCTGGACGGGAAACATCCTCGCATCCTCCGCTTCCTTCACCTTGCAAATCCACCCCTCAATTGCAGCTGCCCTTCTCTGTGTCAACCGCATGGTTGTCTCCCTTTGACGGGTCCGGACGGGTCTTGTCGTGGGCCATCGACGCCAACCCCGCCATCTGGTTTGACATGTCCGTTGGCGAGTATGCGGGCCTCTTCACTTCACTTCACTTCACTTCACTTCACTTCACTTCACTACTCCCCCTTCAAGGTGATGGACCCCTGAGGTTCCCTGCAGGATTCCAGTGACCAGAAGACTCACCTGTTCACTGAGATGTTGACTTCCCCCAATACTTGGGACTCTCATACACTCCCAAGGCTCTAGGCCTCATCAACTCCCTGCTCAGTCAGACACTACTCAATCATCATCTTTGATGCAGTTTCCATCCTCCCGGCGGTTCGAGACACGTAGTCTTGCTTCAATTCGGCCTTAACCCCCGGATGCTCAAGGATCGCTCGATCTCTATGGAACCCAGCCAGCCGCGGTTCGGTGCATGTCCCGCATCCAGGTGGCGTAGCCATCGCTTCACAGCAATCCTGACCCGCCCCAAGAAAGATGCGATCAGGCGAGGCTGACCCAATCTTACGACCAACATAGGTTCCAAGTCTGGGAATTCATTGCATTCAAACTCGAAGAGGTTCAATCAACTCTTTCTGTAGAGAACTCTGCATGACCACAGCTAAGGTAAGATGTCGAGTCTCTGTATTGTTGCTCGCTTCCGGCTTAGAGAGGCGTGGAAGTTCTGCACCCCAAGTTGGAGGGCGCCAGCTTGACCATCCTTGGGGTATTGGTTCGGAAGCTGATTGGTCTGCCGGAAATGCACTGATTCACTGCGATTTTAACACTCCCTGAGGACCTGAGCCGACTGCTGAACTAGGAGCATTTCGTACCTCTGGTTGGACGGGTTTTCATGAGAAAGCCGACCAGGCCAGAGTAGGAATTAATTTTTGACCTCTGTCTTATTCTTTTCACTGCAACTTTAACCTCTCCCAAGAGGTTCCGAACCGCCGGGGTACCCCCATCATCGCTCAGGTTATCAAGAATTCAGAAACATCCCATATCCGGCATCATGGCCAACTTGGAATTAAGTCGCCGAGGGTTTAGATGGACGCCTGCGGATGACAGTTCTTCATCAGTCACAGGGAGCAAGAATCAAGGGATCCATGGCGCGCTGACCACTGTCTCTCCGCAACTCTTCAGCCTCATGTGAGCAACCACCACCGTTGCAAGGGCGCATCAGAGACATTAGACACACGCAAGGGCGATGAACCAACGATCCAAACACTTTGAAATGGGTTCTACTGGCTCTGGAGCGGGAAGAGCGGCATCCTTCACAAGTCCCATTCGCGATCGTCAGCCGTCCGTCATCTCAGACACGGACGGTTACGTGACTGCCATTCCCGCCTCTCACCTGACCTCTCACATGAATCTAATCTCACAACCTCATCTCAAAAGCTAATCTCACATGAAGAATTCACTCATCCCTCACTCACCCGCGCCTCTGCGTGGTATCACGTATTCCAAAATCTCCGCCTCGTAAGGCTACCAACGGGCCCCTTTGGCGGCGGCCCATCTTGGCCCCCAATTCCTCCCGCACCGCCGATCCCCCCCAAGCCCCGATCCGAGATTGTAAACTTCCTTCTCGAATCACACGAAACGCCAAACGCGGTCATCGTATCATTCGCTAAAGTAGGCAGTAGGCAAACGCAAGCCACCCGTGCCACCGTCACACTGGGTCGTAGCCTGCTCACGGGAGTACCTTGCACTTTCACGCACCTCGTGTACCTCCTCACTAGGCACTGCTTACTTAGTACCAGTCGTAGATTGTCAGTCACAGTGTTCAGCGTCACAGCGCCGAGACCTCATGTGTCTATTCACATTCTCAGCCCCCCGATCGAAAACGACGTAGACGCGCCCAAGAAAGAAACGCCCATTGTAACCAACCTTCAGAGCAAGCTGTTCATCGTGTATATCACGGCACACCTAAAGTAAGCAACAAACCAAGCCAAGAGGGGGGAAAACGTGGTATCACTTGAGACTACCGGCGCCATGCACACCACCCGCGCCGCTGATTGGTGAGATTAGCGCTGAGGCCCGACATGAACGAACCCCAATTTGGAACATGCACACTTGTGTGTGTGCAGGTATCCGCGCATCCCAGGTTCACACGTTCACGCCAGACACCAGACGCCAGATCCCTAC